TATATATATATATATATATATATATATTACTGAGTGAGTAGTGACAGATTTAACCGAATGAGAAATTACAGATTTAACCGAGGGAGTTTTGAAATACTGACATACTTAACTGAGTGAGTACTGAACGATTTAATCGGGTGAATACTAAAATATTTAACCAAATGAGTAATCAATAATTTAACTGAGTGAGTACACAAACTCTGGATCAAATGTACTCAAACATTTCGTGCACAATTTCAATATTTTAAATTTAACTTTAGAATGGTGTAAAGTGGTTTAACAGTACGTATTGTACTGAAATCCCCTGTAAAAATATTTTTTAGCGTATAGTAGCATCCACAAGTTTTAAAGGTGACGGAACAGAGCATCCAAATGTGACACGCACAATTGACTGAAGTTTTCTGATGTCATTTATCTTGTTTATAATATAATCTGTGCTTCTAACATTTATTAAAAAGACACACGATTTTCTATTTTGCACTTATTTTTACTGTGTATTTTTTTTTGCAACTGAAAGTAATGCATCATCAACGTGCAGTGTATACTGTAGTATCTGTAATACCAGTGTGTAATTAGCAATAAAATCTGTATCAGTTGACAACGTTATCATCATTATACAGTATACATTAGTGTCTTTAAGGCGGAGTTTGTGTCAAAAGTGTTGTTACGTATTAATTCCATTAACATTGGAGGTGTATCACCAATATTTAGACATATTAGGTCCTTTAACAGTAGAGTGTATCGACAGTGTGCGGCACTTATTAGTGTCTTTAAAGATCGAGTGTGTTTCTTCTGTTTGCAGCAAGTATTAGTAGTGTGTTTGGTCTGTTTGCAGTACATATTAGTGTATTTAATGGTTGTGTGTGTTTCGTCTATTTGCAGTATGTTTATTGCTGTCTTTACGTTAGTATTTATCCCGAGACCCTAGACACCGCACGCAGGATGGAAGGTAGAGACGATAACGTCATAGTTCCACAAAGTGGAACCAGAGGGCGCATTCTTAAGCCGCCATGACACTTGACGACTGAAGTTGTCTACTGCCAGAGAGCGCATTGCTAGGAGTTGTCACACAGCTTTATAGTTCGAATGTTACTCAACACAGACCATGTTGCAAGGACTATAATTCGATACCAGAGGGGCTGTTACTATAGACAGCAGTGTTACCAAAGTTCAATAGGCGATGGATTACTTAAGCTCTATAGGCGGATGGTGTTACTAAACAGATGATCCTACTATAAATGTATTGTCGGATGGTCTTAGTAGACTTACTCTGTGTATTTTACAAAGAAAAACGTTGTTACTAAGGTTATGTAAGTAGATTGTCTTACTAAGGATAGTGTTTCTATAGGCAGTGTTACTATACTTCCATAAGATTGCATACAAATTTCAACTTGTCTCAACTTATATTTATAATTTTCATTTACATGTTATTACATATGTTTCTATAGGCTGAGAGTGTTACTAACATATTTAACATTCTGCTGAAAGGTTATTATCACATCTAATGTTTAATTTTTATAAATATTGAACAAGACAGTTTTGTTGCTTCTTACAATACAAATATGGTCTACAAGAAAAGATGATTCTTTCAAATTTTATAAATACATCACGTTTACTGTTTATTTCCCACAGAGTTTTATCCTTTGGTGCCACTTCTAGAAGAGTTCCATTGTTCTAAATTATATATATCTATGTGTAAAATTAATGTTATGGGTTATACTTTTTCGTGAATATTTTCAAAATGTACAATCGTGTGATCATCGTGTCCACACAAATCATTTTGGCGAGTGTCCTATTTGTTTTGTTTATGGAAGTATGTTTTATCTACGCAGCCATTTGATTAAACCTTTAAATATTCCCCAAATATTACCACAGTGGACCCTTGGAGTTATGCAGAATAGACATAATGTATTTCAACTGAGGATTCGTCTTAAAGATAGTGAAGATGAAGGATATTCTTCTTCTGAAGAAAATGGTTCTGTTTAAATGATTGAAATTTTAAGGTCCCCTTCAGGACCATCATATTCTGAGAAAGAGAAATTTATGATTGCAACTATCACCTCTACTGATGAAAAAGTTTAGCACTTCTAATATTTACAATAAACATCAGCATTAATATATTGTCTGATCTTTTAAGTTTTATTATATCTTCCTTAGCGAAATCATCTTTGCTAACACTGTTGAAGATATGAATTTTAAAGTATATTTAGAAAAATACATAATAGTGTGTCGGCTATATTTTAGTAACTTTTTTAATGTTCATCTGTCTTTCAGGTTTTACGTATTAGAATTTCAAATAGCCTGAAATTAAGTTAAACGATACTTTAAATTTAGTAGTTAAATTGTGCTTTAAATTTAGCAGTTAAGTAAAAGCCGATATATAGTTAGTGTTTGATATTTGCCAAAAAGATTGACGCACACAGTTTTCTTTGTTTTATACAAATATATGTGTTATGTTACATTTTTTACCTTTCTGTATAACAGATTGACATGTTAGATTGTGTTACGTTACATTCTTTACATTTCTGTATAACAGATTGATGTGTTGTATTGTGTTAAATTATATTCTATACCTCTCCGTATAACAGATTGACATGTTAGATTGTGTTATGTTACATTTTTTACCTTTCTGTATAACAGATTGACATGTTAGATTGTGTTATGTTACATTTTTTACCTTTCTGTATAACAGATTGACATGTTAGATTGTGTTATGTTACATTTTTTACCTTTCTGTATAACAGATTGACATGTTAGATTGTGTTATGTTACATTTTTTACCTCTCTGTATAACATATTGATATGTTAGATTGTGTTATGTTACATTTTTTACCTTTCTGTATAACAGATTGACATGTTAGATTGTGTTATGTTACATTTTTTACCTTTCTGTATAACAGGTTGATCAGTTAGATTGTGTTATGTTACATTCTTTACATTTCTGTATAACAGATTGATGTGTTGGATTATGTTACGTTACATTCTTTAGCTTTGATTGGTGTATTGAATTAATTTTTTTGCTGCATTATCTACTTCTCTGTATAACAGACTGATACGTTAGGTTGTGTTATATTACATTCTTTGCCTTTCTGTATAACAAATTAATGTGTTGGATTGTGTTATATTACATTCTTTGCCCTTTTATATGAGAAATATAAATGTGTAGCCTCTATTTTTGCATTTTTAACGTTCGGTATATTTCAGGAAGACTAAAGTTTGTTCTTATTTTCAGCAGCTGTTTCGGTCGTCTTCCAAGATGTATTAACGTGTGGTGTGTGTCAGAAAGACTTTGTTTTGTCGGACATTGTGAAATTTATCCAGCATAAAGTTCATAGTTGCAATAAAGAAAATTGTCGATATTATGGTAATGGTAATTTTGATGAAGTCGGGAAGAGTGATGATGAAGATGATGATGGTGATACTAACATCTTTCAATCAAAGCAACGCAGAACATCAGTTTCTTTAAGTAAACATAGCAATGGGTTGTCCATACTAACGAATATCGAAACAAAGCCTGATGGTTCCGGGTCGTCCTTAGACTCTCTCAAAGTCTCAAATTTTGCAGTCACAGCTGGAATTGAACGAGCGAAGAATGTTTTGTTAACTTGCCCAAAAGATCAGAGGAAGGGAAGAAGTCCAGAAGAGCTATTGTCGTCGGTAGAGGGCGCTCACAAACAGAGGCATGTCGTGGATGCTAACACTAATACAATCTCCACAGGTTAGTACAGAATAACTTCATGTTTCTGCACACAATCAATATCTGTAAAAGAGTTGCTTCTTACATGTTTTTTTTTACTCGTATTCCTAAAGAAAATAATAAATTTGTAAAACAAATAAACTTTATCGAATTTTACGACTTTATAGAATTATAAAACAAAATTATAATCAGAAAGAAAAGGTTAGTGAACGAAAGTTTATTAAACAGGAAAGGTCTGTATATATTTTGCTTCCATTTTAATGTTGCACATGCAATTTATTTGACGTAATCTTTAATTTGTTCTTACATCTACAGTTTCTTATACCCTCTGGTGAAACTTCAGAAAAGAAATAACGACCAAATGATTCCCGGGTGTGTCAGATTTAATTTTACAAACTTACAATGCTAAAATCCGGGGTTCGATTACCCGTAGTGGCCAGAGCGCATTGTGTAGCTTTGCGCTAAAATAACAACACCATATTCAGGCAAACTGTGGAGTAGTAGATTTTCTGGTTTGAACTATTAAAAAAAAAATAATAAAATAAATTTGTGTTTGGTTTTTGACTAAACAGAATTCTCATATCATTTACACTTATATTGTCGGCTGACTCTTTTTGGAGATTTTTGGGTAGCATTTTACTTAAACAATAAAGGTAAAAGTTAAAAGAAAAAACAAACGTTATGAAATGTGATACACAGAGTATTTTTCAAAAGATATCCCTAAGAACAGGAACTTAATTAGAATTTTTTTTAAATCTTTTTTTCTTCCCAAGAAGTAGAAATACTACTATGTAAAATATTTACAGTTTTATTACTGTCTAATTTTTGAAACAGTTTTACAAACTATAGCGTAAATATCTTTTTCTGGATCTTTATTTCTAAGTTCCAAGATGAAAAATGTGATTGGTTAATATTTTTCAACGATTTGCTCTCCAGTAGCGCAACGGTAAGTCTAAAGGCTTATAACGTTAAAAATCGGTTCCACTACCCGTGGTACGCAAAGAATGGTTAGCCCATTGTGTAGCTTTGTGCTTTAAAACAAACGAACAAACGTATTTCAAAGATTTTTAGGGCAAATGTTGAAAAGAAAATGACCAAAAAGTGTCTAATTTCTGAAATAATCCTACAAAAAATTGAATTATTAGTGTAAATTCTGTAATTTTTAGAAAATTTAAAACAATGGCCATAAAAGGCTGAATTTTCACATCTTTAGTCAATATTTACATCTGGTCGTCCTGAATTTTCGCAACTGACTCCTTTACACCAGTGGTTCTCAAACTTTTTTCGTCCGCCGACCATTTCGGCGGGGAGAATGACCGTGCAGATCACCTTCCGGTCCTACCCCACATGTTTTGTTCTTACATTAGGCCTCGGCTTACTTTTTGACTTACTTTTTGGATGAGCTAGCGGACCACTAGTAGTCGCGAACCACACTTTGAGAAACACTGCCTTACACGTACTGTAAGTTGTGCTACACTAAAATACTAATATCTTGCACTTGCATCTGATAACTTCCATCTGATAATTAAGTTATCTGGTGCTGGTGCCTTGTCAGTTTTCAGAGTTCTCTCATGGTGTCACTTTTTATCTCCCATCCACAACATGTTGAATCTACGTTCTCCTTCCACTCCTGTATTTGAAAGTGTACTATAAGGCTGTGATATTTTGTGGCACCTGATGGTGGTGGTATACTTTAAGGTTCACAAAGCTAGAACTTTTTGCAAATTTCTCAGCAGACTTATTAGTACGTAAGTTACCTAACCCTTCTTTATCATCCTTGCACAGGCAGCGCTCTATAATGTCACTAGAACTTCTATTGAATATGGAGGCAGCGTTTCTGAATTCTTCACATCTTTCATGTGTATTAAACACCTCGTCCTTTCTAAATCCGTATGTGGTGTCACAGCCTAGTATCGCGTGAACGAAGATAAACTTGCTACAGGTATGTTCTCCTGTGGTGTCACAGCCTAGTATCGCGTGAACGAAGATAAACTTGCTTACAGGCATGTTCTCCTGTGGTGTCACAGCCTAGTATCGCGTGAACGAAGATAAACTTGCTACAGGCATGTTCTCCTGTGGTGTCACAGCCTAGTATCGCGTGAACGAAGATAAACTTGCTTACAGGCATGTTCTCTAAACACGCATTTCGTCTCATGGATATTTTAAGCTGTAGTAGGTTTATCTGAGTGTATTTTGGCCGTCATGCAAAATATATATATCGAAGGATTCCATGAACGCATAGTGGCACAACTAATACCGCCATCCCCATTGATGTATAACTTACACCTGTATTCACAATGAGGACATCGGCATCATTGGGTTTATTACATTCTGTAACGTTGAAACATGTAGAGTCGTCAACTTTTTGAAGGCCATAGATAGGCCTAAATAAAATGTTTTTAATTGTGTACCAGTTAAACGTTGAATATTATTTATGATTTAAACTAAGTAATTCCAACTTATCACAAGGTTCTTTAATGTTTAACAAAGATATATTGAATTATATGGTTCTAACTGACCATTAAGTTGTTTAATAAGTGATAGAGACACACTTTAAAATAGGTAAATCCAATTGGCCATTAGGCTCTATAAAGAACGATAAGGACACATTTTAAACTAGGTAAATTCCAAACTGACCAATAAGTTCTTTAATAAATCATAGAAACACACCTTTTAAACTAGGTAATTTGGACTGAAATGTTCTAATGGAGTTCGTTAGAATAATCCGAGGTACTTTACAACTTCGTCAGTACCACCAAGCTGTAAGCTGCAATAAGGAGAAAACAAATATCACCAAGTTGTAAGCTGTAATAAGGAAAAAACAAATATCACCAAGTTGTAAGCTGCAATAAGGAAAAAAACAAATAACACCAAGTTGTAAGCTGCAATAAGGAAAAAACAAATAACACCAAGTTGTAAGCTGCAATAAGGAGAAAACAAATATCACCAAGTTGTAAACTGCAATAAGGAGAAACCAAATACCACCAAGTTGTAAGCTGTGATAAGAAGAAACCAAATACCACCAAGTTGTAAGCTGTAATAAGAAGAAAACAAATAACACCAAGTTGTAAGCTGTAATAAGGAAAAAACAAATAACACCAAGTTATGAGCTGCAAATTGGACAAAACCAAATAATATCAAGCTGCAAGCTACTAAGTGAAATGTTGTAATATATATATCTTGGGGTTTAGAGAGATCTCTAGATGAAGGACTTACACAGCGGCAGGGAAACACCATTTCTTGTTATCTTCTTGTCTTTTCCCCTTGCCTTAGGTTTTGCTAATAAAAAAAAACAGTAAGTTATAGAAGAACCAGTCAAGGTCAGTGTTTGAATACGAAAACCGTATCTTGAAAATAAAAGAATGGTTTAAATGACAAATATCGAACTTTTCAAATATAAATCGTAGCCATATAAAAGATAAGAAAAATATCCATGTTTAACTGCAGTTACAAATAATTATAAGAAATATTTCCATCGCTGACGCCTTTTCCTTAGTAAAACAGTATCAACCTGTTCTTTACACAATAGCACTTTAGAACTAAGGAAGATTACTCTATAACTTTTCATATTTCTGTTTCTTGTATATCAAACTCATTTGTTCTTTCTCTGTATTATTCGTAGATGGTTTTACGTCCTAAATATCCTTAATACGACCACTTTGTATAAATGCCAAATAAGGTATTTTGTTTCCCAGTTTCTTTTAATTGTTTTGTCGCCACTATCGTTCTTCTTTCGCTGTATTAATTGTTGCTATTTGCTGGATTCAAGTGTCTACTTTCTAAACCTCAAAGCATTATACTTTAAAACTGACTCAAATTTATAAATTTGGCAAAAAAATAGGAAGTAAATAAAATTTTTAGATTGATACAAAAAGATATTCACAAATTCCTGTTAATATTGGTGAATTCACATATTACTTGAACTAGATGGCTAGATTTTTGTATATCTTACAAAAACGTTTAACCTTCAAATTACCAACTTGTTTTTAAATTCTTATCTCCCGTTGAGGTCTACATAGTATATCATACTGATTAATTTTATACTGTTGTCTTTTAAAGCGTAGAATCACTCCTTTTCTCCTGTTCCTCAATTTCGAGCAAAGCTAGACGAAAGCTGTCTGCGCTAGCCGCTCCTAATTTTGAATTGATAGACTAAGGGGAAGGCAGCTAGTCAACATCATTCACCGCCAACTCTTGAGCTAATCTCTACCACTGAATACTGGATTGGCTGTTACATTATAACTCCCCCATGGCTGAAAGAGCGAACACTTTTGTTGACATGTTTCAATCCCGCGACTCGCAGATCGCGAGTTGAGTGCCCTAAAAGCCAGGTCATACCAGGCCACTCGTAGGGCACCCCAGTAGTAATTAGTGGGATTGATTGCAATACTGACGATATTTATGTTTAAATGTTCTGTAAATGTTATTAAGTCCAACAAAGTTATGGACGTCAAGCAGTTTCGTGTATAAACTGTTTAGAAAAGTGTGTTTAAAAACCTTTTCAGTAGCTCTGAAAACTGGAAATAATCACTTCCTCAAGCTCTTCGTACGTTAAAATAAGCCTTTCAGAAACGGAAGTGTAAAGATCTCCAGAAATACGCCTATTAAACATTTTTAGAGTTCCAAAACTTCGATACTTCCAATTACGAAAGAGCCAACGAGTTCCATTTGAATGTGCAGGAAAATTTATAAGGCGTTAACTTCCCAAGCACTTTAATGTGAATGGGTATGAACTTAATCGTATCTATTTTATTATCCTTCACGATAACTGTATCTAAATTGGTGATTCTGAACTTGGGGCCCCCAGTGGCACAGCGGTATTTCTGCGGACTTACAACGCTAGAAACCGGGTTTCGATACCCGTGGTGGGCAGAGCACAGATAGCCCATTATGTAGCTTTGTGCATAAATTCTAACAAACAACCTGGCTGTGGAGCGCACGCCCCACAGGGGGTATTTTGAATATATTGGGGGCACTTTTAAAATGCTACAATAAGAAAAATTTTACATTATATATTATAT